GACATGTTTGTTCTTGATTCATTTGTAAATTATGAATTTGTAGATTAGGTTGCTCAGGACTCACGCTGAGGTCGGGGTCGGTCAGAGCTGCAGAGAGATTTCTGCGCAGGCTGCTCCAGCTCTCACAGCTCAGCACATCAGACGGATTGGCACAGCAGAGAGCCTGAAGAGCCTCCCAGCGCACCTACACAGAGTCACATCACTTCACCTGGACTACACTGAGAATTATATTCACATTAAAAAGCAGCGATTTACAGATTTTGTGACCTCTTTGAGCAGACAGGTCTGGTGTGCCCATTGAGGGCTATTTGTTAGCGACACAATAAATCAACTTTGTAGGCCGGGTTAAGAATGGTGATGCCGACTACCGAGTTATATTAGTTACTAGTCGACTTACAGAAATAACAGCTCTTAAATCCGCATATTTCATTGATCTCTGAATTGAGAATTACTTTGGCAAACCGATAGTTCCCTTCTGATGCCTTCCCAAAAGCAAAAAAAAAACAGTTAGTATGAAAATAATGGAAGGCTGAATGAATTAAGTGAAACAAATTGGCAAATTCAGCCTGATTATTAGGCTAATGTCTACTGAAAAAAAACTGTTTTTTAGAAGCCTGAAGAAGTAAATTATGTTGTATTTCAGTAGAAAAATTGAAAATATTAAGGGAACGTAGGATAAAATAAAATCATGTATTTACAGTACACCATCATAATGTATGTGTAAGTGAGACCTTCTACCTCTTTGGGTCTGCTGGGGTCAAGTTTTTCAGCCAAAGCTTGCAGCTGCTCTTGTCTGATGAACGCATAACTCTATAAAGGACAATGGAAATGAAACACAAATTATTATGATCCATCATAAAGCAAAATAAAAAAGAGCTCTCAGTCTACAGTCTGCTATGGAAAGGAACAAACTCCCCCAAGGACACCAATTGCGACGAATGCCATCCAGAGATTGAGATACTATCTTGACAATTTAAGCGATACTGTATCTCTCACCTGATTGAAGGAGGAGTCGCTGTCAGAGCAGTTGTCAGTGTACTGGCTGTTGGACTGACTGTGCTGCTTCTCTCTGTGCATCTCCTCCTTCCTCACCTGGTCCTCCTCAAATTTGTTGATTAAAGACTCCACCACCATCATCATGGAGTTTTTCAAGGGCTGCATCATCTGCTGGTACCTGGCATGAAGCGAGAAATTGCATCAGTGTATGATTAGGAACACTTACTTTCAGAATAATTGTTTAGCTAAACTCCAATTTAACAATGCCTCAGTGGCATTTTTTTTCTAGTAAGAAATTAAGATTCTCTTTCTCTCTCTAGGGTTAACAGGAAAATAGTTGTGAGGAAATCCACATATTCAATCAAAAATGGCTTTTATTATCCATAACCTCAAAACATGCATACACTGAAGTTGAAAATAAGTATCATACAGCAAGACAGTGAAGGATTTCTGATGTTAGCACAATTCACACAAAACAAAAATATTATCTATGAATGAGAAAACAGAGTAGACAAAGCTCTGAGCTACGCTCACTCAGCTGAGTCTCTGGTACTTTGGGTGACCGCATGGATCAGAGTGTCGTGACCTGAGCCTATAGCATGTTGTCCATCTCCTCTGGTCAAGTTCTTGGTCTCCTCCTCCACCACAGTCCCCAATGACCTCTCCACATACTGACGGAGATACTTGACAAACTCATAACTGAAAAGAGAGCAATGGCGGAGTCAGACCTACTGGATATATACTGTACATTAAATCTAAACAGAAATAACTTTTAAATAACAACTCTGAAGTAAATGTATTATTATTCGAGTCTGGTGGCCTTACTTGTGGAAGTTCTTGTCAGTCTCCTCCAAGTGAAGGAGGATCTCCTCAGCACATTCGGTCGACGGGGCGCCAGAGATTTGGTCGTTAATGCTTCTCAGAAGCTGCTTGAGCAGGGATTGCAACTCTGCTTCATCTTCAGCTGACAACTGAGACATCTCTACTGCTGGCCCCTAACATGGGACAGAATGGAGTGATTCGTTTTCTAGGCTTAAATTGTGCAACAAATGCCAAAAATGTCTAAAACCATTGCAATATTGTATAAAACTAAAGATATCTTGCATCAGAATGCATTATATATACTGTAGGTTATAGTTCCATACACTACTTACTGTGTGGAGGTATGGTGAAACACACAAAACCAACATTTTCATGCTAGAAATAAATCTATCAGATTATTACAAACCAACCCACACTATTTATTAACTTAAATACTTTAAAATGTCACGATGTAGTTGATCTTAAAACTGCATTTACGAAGTTAAAGGCACAAATTGATTTGCTTCCAAACTGTATCCAGAGGTTGTTTGAAATTGAAGAGAGTAGGCAATAGGTTTTTCATAAAAACAAGGTATAAAAAGCTTCAGTCTACACCTTTGGGTCTGTATTATTTGTTTCCCCTTTAATTTAATGCCTCATTGTTATTTATTCATTTTCATGTGAATAATTTTTGTAAAAATATTACTAAGGACCAGAAAACAATACTACTACTAATACTACTCCATCAGTTTCAATCAGTGGTGAAAAATAACTAAAATACAGTGCTTGAGTAAAATTAGTAGGTACTTTTATTTTAGAGTATTTAAATTTTATGCTACTTTATACTTCTACAACACAACATGTCAGGAGGAAATATTGTACTTTTTACTCCACTGCATTTATCTGACAGCTGTAGTTACTAGTTTACAGTTCCTAGTACACTAGTTTATGATCAATTTATAAAATATGATACTGTGCTACAGAATAAACAATCCAATAGTATATAAAAGTGATGGTAAGTCAAAGTTAAAGTGTGCTGTACGGTTAAAATGCTTCTCATCAGTACTGATATTCCAATAATGGGATATAGCATTATATAATAATATAAAATCCTGAAAGGGATCATTCTGCACAACATGTACTTTTACTCAAGTAACATTTTGAATGTAGGACTTTTACCTGTAACAAAGTATTTTTAATTTAAGTATAATAACTAAGTGCCTCCTCCACCACTGGTAGTAATGCTCAGCACAGGGGAGTAAATGCGCAGACGTGTTGGCTCATTAGCTCATCACAAACAGGTGTGATAATGAGCTAACTTACCTTAGAATAACATATCTCAAGAATAACGGTTTACACAGCCGTTTCCTCTCAAATATACAAATACAAATCTAACAGAAATATTAATTGGTCAATGCTGTACATCCAACCTGACTATCTGATGTTTTACTGTTTTTAATTTAGAGCCTAAATGAGTTAATTGTTTCTCTCTGGTTAGCTCGACGTTGCTAAGTGCACCACTGTAACACAGCTAGCTAGCAGACATCAAAGACTACCAAAACACTTCCGCGCTGCACGAGCGAACCATCCGAACAGAAACACGTCGTATGCGGTATATGTTAAACCAGTCACCTCTCTGTTAGACTTGTAAAAGCTTTTATCCAGATAAAAGCCAGGGAGCATTTTGAGAGCACTTGCAACCAAATTCTGGGTCTCTATGGAAACGTCCACTTGATGTTGACTGCGGTGCATTATGGGATGTCCAAAGAAACAAACGCTGCCTTTTGGAGCGTCGGAAATATGTGTTTTACAAGTAAGATGATTAGAATATCTAAAAGCTTCTTTTTTAAAGACACATTTGGGAACATACAAGATCTCGCAGAGAATACATACATTTTAAATAATAAAATACAAGTGTTAGTAACATACTGTAAATAAAAAAGATATATAAGGGGGATTTATACATATTATTAAATAATATATAAATATTAAATAAACAGGCATTTATCACTAGGCATAGATAAGAACAAGCAAGGACTTCAAAAATAAAGGGCATATATCAAAACAATAAGAAACGATATACTTCCACACAAGTACATTTTTTTAGGTGATGAGAACAATAATTTGAAATAATGTACAAACCAAACAAATAATGGCTCATTGTTTATCCACTTGCTAAAATATAAAAAATTCCATTTACCCATAAGAATGACGATCATATTAATCATTTTAGAAATTAAATTAATTAAATTATCCATATAAGAAAAGAGAAATGCCAAACGTCGGAGTGTCCACTTTGAATTTGAACCTTTTTATTTCGAAATTGTGCAACCGGGTAAACCGTATGAAGTATTTTTAAATGAGTTTCAAAGGAAAGTTGAAATATTAGTGTCTGTTATCCAGAAACATCGCAAAATCCAACCACGCCTGATATAAACACGTCTAAGAGCCGGAGTTTCTCATGTGGTCTCGAATGCAGCACCATTGAAATACATGTGTCACGTGACTCAATGTTTTGCTTCGTCTACCGGGTGCTGAACAACTGATAATCTCTGCTGAAACGTTTGTCAGAGCTGCTAACGTTACCTTTATCAGACATTTACTATGTGAGAACAGCGACAGGTTTTGTTCACACGCCTGAGTTGTTGGTTAACGTTACGTTTGGAGATCACAGCGTTAAATCGGCTGCATAAGCTTTAGCCAGCGAGCTAGCATCAGCATCCATAGTGTCGACTATGGCGTCAGTGGACAGCTTTCAGTTTTTGTATGGAGAAATTTCTCGATCATGTAATCCTTACATTGAAACCCTGGCCCTGATCGGTGCTCTTTACGCGGCCAGGAGGGCGGTAATCCTGCTGAGAGACTGCTGCACGTTGGTCAGGGTGCATTTCCTGCCAAGAATTATCCCGAGTAAGAAGCTCACCCAGAGATTTGGAGACTGGGCTGTCGTTTATGGTAAGGATGCAGCAAGTGACCTCAGCAGCTATGGGAGTGCATGACGTTGTAGATGTTTTGTGACAGAGGGGAGAGGAGAGTCCCATGCGTTTTGTTTTAGTGACCCAAATCACCATTTAAGTCATTTATCAAGCAAATATTCAGCCTCTCAGATTTGACACTATGCTGATTTTCTTTCTATGATTTTATTGTTATAATATATTTTGGGTATCACACTAATGTTGCTAAGACAGTTAACTAGGTAAATAATGATCGGTTAATTATATTATATATAACAATCAGTTATTCATTTGGTCTATACAATGTGTAAAACTAGTGACAAATGCGTGGGGAGGGACATTTTCGAATTGCTGGTTTTAATCAACCAGCGGTCAATAATATGAAGATATTCATTTTACAATTATATAAAACAGAGAAAAGCAGGGTATTTATGATACACTTGAACCAGCAAATGTCTGGCATTTTCCCCTGATGAATTCAAAATTGTTGTTTAATGTCTTGGCAATCGATTAATCAGCTTAATTATTTTGGTAACAATGTAGATCTCAGGTTTTGAGGTCATGGTGCTGTTACTGTGCTGTAGTTGTCAGTTATATATCCTCATTCCTTCCTAACATGACTTTCATTGATAGATATTGTCCTCTTTCCTGTCAGGTGCAGCAGAGCCTGTAGCCAAAGCCTATGCAGAGGAGCTGGCCAGGCATGGAGTCAGCATTATCTTTGTCACTCGGGACCACTCATCTATTAGAGACACCGCTGCAACCGTCTCCCAAAGCTACGGAGTGGAAGCTGTTGTCATACTAGCCGACTTCTCTTTGGACCAGGCAGCCGGCAACCTCATCAAAGAAGCCATGAGGGATAAAGATATCGGCTTCCTGGTGAACTGTGTGGAGTCTGTGGCTTCCCCTCAGAGCCTGGTTGAAATGCCTGAGCAGAGCCTGTTGGATTTGGTGAATAAGAACGTTGCGGTGGCTACTCTGATGACCCGCTTGGTGCTGCCAGGGATGCTGGAGCGCAGCAGAGGAGCCGTGGTCAATATATCATCGGGGGCTTGCGCCAAACCCCTGCCTGGAAGAGTGACCCTCACTGCCTCCACTGTGAGACAAAACACTGAGGAAATCTCCTCTAGTATATAAAAAGACATTTCTAAATAAATATTATAAATATTCCAAAAAATGTCTATTGATGCTGGTATTTCAAAGCAGAGTAAACTTTTTAAAAACTTCAGTCCAACTCAAGTTTTAGGGTTATAGGGCTAACATACCCACAAGCAAATCACACTGCATCCCCTTCTGCTGGCTGTTATTCATTGCTCTTCTGCCCACTAAGTAAAAACACAACCACAATCACATTTTTCTATCCTGACAATAATCCTCTTTCCCTTTCTTATCCTTACATTTCAGGGCTACATGGATCATTTCTCAAGAGCTCTTCACCTTGAGTACAGCGGCAATGGGATCTTTGTCCAAAGTCTGACTCCTTTCCAGGTAGACCTGATATGACCATTAACCAGTGTGTACTGAACCTAAATATATCATTATATTGCCAACCAAAATATGTCTTTTATTATTGTATACGTTGTTATATAAGTTATTTTACTGCTATTTATAGTTTGACAACAGCTGAGAACTTTGGCTTCTTTTCTTAAATGAAAATAAGTTTTGTTGAAAGTCATGTAACAAGTAAGGTCTCAAAAGTAAATTATCAAAAAATATGAAATGTCCTCTATAATTAAAAGGTTAATATTATTTGTATATACTGAGTTTTAGTATGTCAGTGCTTGATATGCCGCATGTGTGTGTGTGTGTATGTGTGTCCAGATAGCCTCAAGTGAGCGACAACCATCCTCGTCATCGACACCGGGCTGGTTTGTACCAAAGCCAGAGGTTTACGCCCGCCACGCCGTCTCCACCCTGGGCGTCTCTAATAGGACCACCGGCTACTGGCCTCACACACTGCAGGTCGGCACAAAATAAGTCACGATTGTTTGTAATTTGTATCAACTCGGACAATTACACTACCACTGATCTACATTTCCAGCCTTTGTGAAAACAGGATCTAAAACATGGAACTCATTTCTGGATGCTGATGTGTTTCTCGCTGTTTTTCTTTTCTACCCAGTATGGACTGATGACACGTATTCCAGAGTGGATTTGGGTTCTTGGATCACGTGTGCTCATCAGTTAAGAGCTCACCTCTCCTCTCCTCACTAAAGACTTAACCCAGTTACTGGAACTTCTTGTTATTGGAGTCATGTGGAGTTTTAGTTTCTTCAGCCAGTAGGTTAAATGTGTTAAACTTTCAGGCTCTGTTGAGGTTGGTGGTGACGGTATTTTCTTCTATTTATTTGGTGTCTATTTCAAAGAAAGCTGTAGTGGAATTTGGACTATACATATATTACTACATGGTCTGACCAATCTGTGACACCTAAATTACTTATACAGGTCTTAGTGGTGGTCAGACATGAGGCTGGAAACTGGGTTTGACTTTGAGTTAGGATTGTAAACATGTACAACATAATATGACATCATTTGGTTTAGTGCTTGGACTTAAACATCAGCCTCCATGTACACTTTAAACTGTTGGATGAAAACATATTTAAAGCCCAACATGGGTCATAAAGGCGTGGTAAATATAGAACTTTTTTATGTATGTAAAAAGAAAAAGTTACTCACTGAAATACTTTTGTTTCGCGAAATAGAGTTCAGTATTAAAGTGCAGTTGAGATCAAAAGCCTCACCTCAGATGTTACAAGAAAAGACAGTCAGAAGAAAGCAATAATAAAGCAATCTGCAAATAAACAAAATCATATGAAAAAAATGAATTGTTGATCTGCAAGACCTTCTCACATCTGCATCATTAACCTGTATCGTGGTTTGTGTTATGTAGGCTCTGGTGCTCACTACGTCTTTAGAAAAAGTCCTACTACTACTGCTAGTCTACAGCTTTTTACCCGCACTGACCACACCTACAGTATATGGCACACATACAAACAGCAAATGGCATTCTCCCCAAAACCAAACCCAACATCATTCAACGTTAAAGGAAGAATGAGATGGATTTGTTAGTTGGCCCCTCCTCCCTGGCTGTATTTGTGTTTTTTCTGCATTGTGCCCACCTTTTTTGTAGCCTCCTCTTGGAATGCGTGCTTACGATCGGGCACCTGGATCGCTACGTTGTTATTGAGGTTGACGCCCAGAAGCGTCCGGAGCAAAGCAATATGAAAACACAAGCAGAGGGCAGCGTCTCTGCAGATACAGACACCCCCACACTACCTCGTGGGTCATAAGTGATGAGTGATAAGGATTATTGTTTTAGGAGTTTTATTTACAGAGGCAGATTTATAAATTGATTGATATTTGGGCGAGACTGTGGCTAAGTGGATAGCAGGGCCGTCTTTCAATCAGAGGGTCGGCGGTTCAATCTGGGCAAGACACTTAACCCCAAAATTGCTCCCGTAGCTGTGCCTACGGTGTAGAAATGTGATAGAATATGAATTGCAAGTCACTTTGGATAAAAGCGTCTGCTAAATGACTGTAATGTAATATTTTAGTGAGGAAAAAGCTGCATTATGAAACACTACCCAAAGTGTTATTCTGATAAATATAACCCGATCTAAACGTAAGAAACGTGTTAATTAATTGTTTTTAATTTTATACATGCAAGTGTTTATAGCGAATACCTGTGTGGTGGTGAATGGGAATGATATCTTTTAAGTGTCATTGCTCGGAGTACAACATTCAAGCATTTCCAGAAGTGAGTTTGAACCGCGATGAAGAGTGAGATTGTGATGTTTTGTTTTGTTGAGAAACTATTATTTGAGCTTATTTACTATATGTATATATTGCTTCAAAATAAGTATTTATATTTAGAAATGTGAACAGATTCAGATATTGTGTTGAGTGGTTGCTTGCACAAACTATACAACGTATAATATGTTGACTTAAATATGATACGTGTCGTCATTGCACCAATTAGACCAATAAAACTCTTTCTCCATTCCTATACTGTCCTGTCTTCTGAATCTAAGTATGCCAAAGTGTCTCTCTTTAAGGTCAGTCCGTTATCTGACTGGTAGGTGTTTCCTGTATATGAGATGTTGACCTATATGCTGAAGGCCACAAACACTCTGTTTTTCTCTTAAAACATTAGGGTAGTGTAGATCATTTATGTGAACAGACACCATGCCGACTACCAGAGTTTTACTCTGCGACCCTTCGGATCAGCCAGGTCACAGACTAAACCTGATAAACACACATGAGGTGCAGTGTGCCCGTAAAGCCACGTGCTGCAGAGCAAACCTGGGCTGTTTTGGGAGGGTTTAAGGTTTAAAGACAAAAGTAGAATCTTGCAGGTCTGATTGTTTTTTCTGAGGCATTTAGTAAATGTCTACATGAAATAGGTAATGGTGAGAAGAGATTTTGTTTTAGATCTGAAAATACTGAAAAACATAAGAAATAAAGGAAATATGATAACAGGCTTCCTAATAAACCTTTATACAGCTCCTTTTCATACAAATAATCTCGCCTTAAGTGCTATAAAAATGAGGAGAATCGACAAATAAAGTAACACCTGCCCTAAACTAAAAAGTAGCAGTACAAAATAAATTAAATCAATACAAAATACCATCAGAAAGGGCAATAAAATGATATTCAAAATAGTGGTAGAGATACAGAAAAATATGGAATTGAATTCAAATTTAAAGACTAGAGTTAAAACTAAGTTTACGACAAACAGAAAGTTATAAGATGCCTTTTTGAGTATCCTTGGAAATGGTATTCCACAATTTGGAAGAACAGCTATTAGCATAGTTTAGTTTGCTTACTTATACAGAAAGATTAGTGAAACTGTAAAGAAAAAGTGTCTCTGTGAGGTGAACAAGTGAGGAATACACACTTGCAGAAAACGTTTAAATGAACCGAGAGAACCGTTAGGGTTAAATTGACCTTGTGGTAAAAAGCGTTTCCAAGATCAAGCCAGGTCAACTTTGAAGTCATATATCAAGAAGTTTGATGTTGGTCCAGAACAGCTTCAGTGATGCTTCTCCGAGTCTGTGGGAAAGTCTACTGAGGGGATAAAACGCCAAACATAATATTCCCTCATTTGGTGTTTTGATGGTGGCGGAGCGTACCGTTCAACACGGTCTAAAATCTCTTATAGCTGTTAAGTTAGGGTTGAGATCTAGTGACTGTGAAGGGCACACAAACTGAATCGCACCACTTTCATACTCCTCAAACCTCGAAAGCACCTGCATTTGTTTCCCCACTTATTTATTCAGGTGTGAACCAGAATATCCGCAGATACAAGCAACAGGACAAAACAAGGCATTTACCGGCCGCTCAAATTCAGTGTTGGGACTGGAGGATTGTTGTTGTGGTTAGGATGGTGTCCTTCCAGATAAGATGCCAAAGAACCATGAAAGAACAGCTTCTTCCACACTTTCTCTCTTTGTCGTCCTCCAGAGTCATCGCCCTCTTCATTCACCTTTTTTTCTCTTTGGGTTTGTTCAATTGGTAAGTAGATTCTATTTACAAATCTATTTTCTCAGATTTTTGTGAAAAAGGAAAAAAAGCATATTGTGCTGTGCATGGACTGGAAATAATTGAAGTTTAATGGATTTATTTTTGGAGTATGTTGGTGTACATTACTGTAAAACTATGCAATATTTGTACCATGAACAATGCATTTGTATTTCAACATGTGAATGCACACCACAACGAGAAGTTCAAAAAGTGTAACTATGTAGTGGATATGGCAGCGCTTTATTGTAGTATGAAATCCCATTCTGAAGCGTAAATAACTCATTTAATAAATGTGATTCATGACAACTAACATATATCAAACAGCTACCAAACAGCCTAATGTTTGATCGTGTAAGAATGTGAGCCCACGCGTTACGAGAATGCTTCACAAAATAGTATTCTGATTAAATAAACTGATGCCAACAGAAACAAAACAATGCCACATAAGAACCAGAGAAGATGAATTCAGAAGAAAATAATTCACTATGTGAAAGAAACCCCTATAAATGTAACACCTGCACCAAAACCTGAGCAGCCTCATTTACTCAGGCAGGTAAATCTGTATTTCTGCATCAGTGGTTGAGCTCACGTACTTTGAATTAAGATTTGCAACAGTTGGTATGAACCAAGGTTAAGGTCTTGGTTTGCAGCAGATAAGTGTGTTTTGGAGATCGGAGTCACCAGCCATGGCTTCTATCAAGCCTGCAAGAAATGATAAAAGTTTGGCCTTGTGAGGGAGCCTGCCTGTTGTGACTTTTACGCCTACAATGATTTCAGAATCACTTTTTGTCAAACTGAAAATAACAAGTCATGTCAAGGGGTGATACTCAACTGCTAATGAAAGTAATAAAACCAGACTACAAACCATTCTCTTTTGATCAAGCAATACTTCTCAAATAATGCAAGTATAACTTCAGAGATTATCTTTCTGTTAGTCATGTTATGGAGCCTTTTCGTATTCATCTCCTCACACAGAAAGCGGGACAACTGGCGACTGAAATGGGCGAATGGGATGTGCTGGGCCGCCTGCTGGATAAAGTGCAGAGTCACTCCACGGTGATCGGCAAGGTCTGGCTCACCGTGCTGTTTGTCTTCCGCATCCTGGTCCTGCGCACCGGCGCCGACAAGGTCCGGTCACATGTTCACCATCTCAAAATGCACTTCACCGCAGTAGCCACAATGTAGGCATTGGTGGATGTCTTAAAACTCCTCCCAATGTGTGGTGAGCAAGAAGTACTTAAAAAAGCCAGAAAAGTCACATGAGCACTTTATTTCTATGATCATCCCGAGGTACAGGGCAGTAAACATTGTCCCTACTACAATTTAAACTCTATGAAGTTTGTAGTAGTATATGCATCATCTCTGTTTCTCTAATCTTCCTCTAGGTTTGGGGCGATGAGCAGTCCGACTTTGTCTGCAACACCCTGCAGCCCGGCTGTGAGAACGTCTGCTACGACATCGCCTTCCCCATCTCTCATGTCCGCTTTTGGGTCCTTCAGATTATTGCTGTGGCGACTCCAAAGTTGCTATACCTCGGTCACGTCCTCCACGTGATCCACATTGAGAAGAAGGTGCGTCGCTGCAGTGGGTGTAGCATGACAGCGAGACTGGGCGAAGGCTGTTTGTCAGGCGTGGGCCAGTGACGTAAAAGTGTAGTGCCACTTACTACTCGAATTTAGCTAATTTAAGCTCACATATTTACTGTATGGTTGAGTCTAAGTGAGCCGCACTCATCAACCCCTTTGGCAGCTGTTTCCAGTTTTTCTGCCCCCTAGGGGCCAAGATTTGATTAATACAGCTTTAAAGTCATACTCATCCCAAATCTATATTTTCAGGACCCAAAACTCCCTTCTTGTGGGCTTTAAAGGTAGTTTTGTAGTCAGGAACAGTAGATGTGTCTAGCTTGACATCAGTTGGTTCCACAAAATGTCAATTATCAGAAGTTTTCAAAGCAGAAACAAGTATCAACACAGTTTCAAGGGGGGAGATAGTGCTAATCGCAATAAGTGTTTAGGAATAATGTATTTGGCAAAACTGTTTGAGTCTATATCTCATGAATTTCCTCAACTTTATACTCTACGGTGGCATCCATCTTTCATCTTTCTCCTAATTACTTTCAATACATCTACACGTCTTTTTCCAATTATTAAAAAATGTCTAACTCTTGTTCTTCCAATCTAAGATGAAGGAGAGGATGAAGAGGCAGGCCGAGATGGACGACCAGGCCAGTATGTTCCTTAGAAGGGCCTACAAAGTTCCCAAGTACACCAAGAGCACTGGCAAGATCAGCATCCGGGGCAGTCTCCTTCGCAGTTATGTGTTCCATCTTGTTGCCAAGATTGTCCTGGAAGTTTTGTTCATCGTGGGTCAGTACTTTCTGTACGGCTTCACCCTCCAGACTCGCTACGTCTGCAGCAGCTTCCCGTGCCCTCACAAGGTGGACTGCTTCCTGTCAAGGCCGACAGAGAAGTCGGTCATCATCTGGTTCATGCTGGTGTCGGCGCTCGTCTCCCTCCTCCTCAGCCTGGTTGAGCTGCTCTACCTGTGCGTGAAAGCTGTGAAGGAGTGCATGGCGAGGAGGCAGGACTACACCGTGACCCCAGTGACGCCTCCACCTTCAGAAAGAAAGGCTTTTAAAAGCCGCGACGATATGCTCCAGAATTGTGTCAACCTGGAGCTGGAGCTCCAAGGACGAAAGTTAGGGGTGAACGGGGCCAAAATCGGGGTCACCGAGGCTGCTATGAATGTGTCGCCTGAGAGCAACAACATGGGGGCGGAGGTCCGCATCTGAAGCATGGACGCAGTGATCGGTTTGAGTTCCGGTGTTTGTGTGCTTTGGCTTTGGGCAGCAAAAAGGGGGTTTGTGTGCAGAGAATTGAGATAGAGGGAAGGAGAGTAGCCAGCTTCTGTAAACAGTACTCAGTCACATGCAAAATTTTGCTTTAAATTACTGTGACATGATCAAAAATAAAGATTTCTTGCAGTTGACAGATCCATCAGTTTAAATTTTTTTTTGACAGATTTTGCAAATGGTATTTTTTGGGAATGATTTTAGACAATGTTATTACAATTTTGACTCAATAAACCTCTCATATACTGTATATGCTTATCTGTCTGAATTTTGTCCATTTTTCTTTCAAATTGAGAACACACTCATCCATCTGAACCTCTGCAGTTTTTTACAAACATATCATACTGTATATAAAGAGCTACAATTGGTACAATGCATACAATCAGTTAATAATGTGATGAAAATGAGTTTTTAATACACTGCACTGCTCTGTCAAAAGGAATCAAAATTAGCCTCTAAAGCTCAATAAGTAACAGGTTATATTTCAGTTGTTCAATTCTTGCCATGTGACTATGAGTTTTTTTTATCATTCATAGAGAATATTTGAATATGAGCAGCAGTTTTATTTAGCGTTGTCTTCGTGATTATACACTTTCCCTGTTTATTTTCAAGTATTCTCGGCCAATAAACTGAGATAAACAACACCTGTCAATCATTACACTCGTCCTCTTAGTCTCGACAATTTATATTCACGTTTGCTGACAACGTCACATCTAAAGCCAGATGTGTGTTGCTCAACGTCCCCATGTTGCCCTCGCCCAGCACACTCCAAGGTCCAACTTTAAAGTTAGCGATCCGTCCCAGGAAGAGACAGTCCTTTCTGACCAGGTCAGCAGGTAAGATGCAACGATTATTGTTCTATGCTACAGATTACTAATCATTTAAAAATGCAAAAAAAAATTAAATTAGGAGGGAATATTTGTAAAGAGCACTATACAGAATGGAAATGTAGCGTTTTCTGTCTTTTTTTATAAAAGCATATTTGTAAGAAAGTGACGCGTTTCTTTTTTTTACTTTGAGTGTTAATGACTTTGCTTTTTTCTAACCGGTTTTAATATGACTTCCATTCAACTAATACTTGCATGAGATTGCTTTTCATGTTTTACCATCCGGCTTTGCCCACAAGACACGTTTAATATGTTTGTATAAATATCATTATTATACAGAATATTAAGCATGTAAGCTTTTAGGTTACATCTACACAGGGAAAGAGCTGCTTTTTCCTTTCTTCCCTTCCTTATTGTATCTCTTTTCCAGCCTACTATGCCTATAATGCCATCGAGTCTTCTGTTCAAATTTCTGATTAATAATTATTTTAGGAAAATATTGACCAACTAGTGCAGGGTTCATGGGGCGTTGATACCTTCTTACTTCTCAAGGAACCAGATTCAAAAACAGAACCAAGATTTTATCTATATTAATAAAAAGAACAATGAGTGCCTTTCTTCCTGCAGCAGCATATTGATTCAATACTAAGCTGTGGTTAATGTTTTCAGTTGGTAAGGTGTGTTGTAGGATCATTGCAAACTAAATTAGAAGTTTGTGCTTTTATCCATTTATCACAGATCAGTAACGGAACATCACCGATAAAGATGGGAGACTGGGGATTCCTGTCAGGCCTGCTGGACAAGGTCCAGTCCCACTCCACGGTCATTGGGAAGATCTGGATGAGCGTGCTCTTCCTGTTCAGGATCATGGTTTTGGGTGCAGGTGCTGAGAGCGTCTGGGGCGACGAGCAGTCGGGTTTCGTCTGCAACACTCAGCAACCTGGTTGTGAGAACGTCTGCTACGATTGGACCTTCCCCATCTCGCACATTCGCTTCTGGGTCCTCCAGATCATCTTCGTCTCCACGCCGACGCTGGTCTACCTGGGCCACGCCGTGCACATCATCCACAAGGAGAACAAGATGAGGGAGCAGCTGTTGAGTCAGAGTGGGTCCCGGGTGCTCAAACAGCCCAAATACACGGACGTTAAGGGAAAGGTGAAGATCAAGGGGAACCTGCTGGGGAGCTACCTGACCCAACTCGTGTTCAAGATCATCATCGAGTCTGCCTTCATAGTGGGCCAGTACTACCTGTATGGCTTCATCATGGTCCCCATGTTCCCCTGCTCTCAGAAGCCCTGTCCCTTCACTGTGGAGTGCTACATGTCCCGGCCCACAGAGAAGACCATCTTCATCATCTTCATGCTGGTGGTGGCCTGCGTCTCCCTATTTCTCAACTTCCTCGAGGTGTTCTACCTGATTTGCACCAGGGTCAGATGTGGGTCCAGGCCTCGCAGTCACAAGATCACTTCTGCCGAAAACCCTGCTAGCCTGTTGTCTCCCAAGTGGCCGACTATAGAGGACTCGCTCAAGCAGAACCAGATTAACATCGAGCTAGAGGGCAGCCCGAGCATCGGTGGAAGCTTGGATGGAGCCAAAGAGGAGAAACGACTACTGAGTGGTCATTAAAAACATTGCTCTGACCATTATAATGTTTGAAATGTTCGTTTTTAGATCGCTGCGTCCTTGTTCAGATACATGTAAGAGACTGCGTAAAGAATTCATGCAAAATGCTTTAAAAAACTCCTGACCGAATATCAAGGAGGCGCTTCATCACTGTGTAGTTAAGTCATATTCTTGCTGAGAAAAGTCTGCATAAATCTGAATTATTTTTAGGGCCACATTGTTGGAATTTTACATTTATTTTGTATTATTTAACAGGAAATCTAATAATGGAAATCTAATAATGGAAAGCATGCAATATTGATGATGTATTTATGTTCTTTAATACTCTATTAGTGAGCAGAGTTTCATCCATGTCTAGTTTCTGAATGTGTCCTGTAAGTTATTGCCATGTTCATTATTAAGGACTTGGAATATTTTGCTCACTGAATGGTGAAAATGATGTTGATGATGATTGTGGTGAAAGGCTTCTACCGTGTTTGGTAGACATTTTTGTGTGCTGTATTGTTTTTAATAAATGATTCAAATTTAAGATATAAAAACAAATGTTTCATGACTATATTTATTTTCAGCTAGGTGTACACTTAAACGCCTTACTTTCAAAGAGCGTGATTTACACTTGTTTGGTAAAGCTGAAAGGCCTGCAACTAATTATTATTTTCATTACTGATGAGTCTATAGATTCTTTTCAAAATATGAATTGTCATAGAATAGAATATAAAACTTTAGCCAATTGTAAAAACTGTCCATCAGTTTCCCTGAGCACATGGTGACAAATCTGTATAATATCACTGGAATGTGATAAATAAACAGATTTCAGAATTTGAGAAGCTGAAACCAGTGATTTTTGTCAAAGAACAATTTTAATGATTAATCAATTAGCAAATCTGTTGCCAATTCATCGTCTGGTGAGTGACTAACAGATTAATCTTTGAGATAATAGTGTACTCTTGCTATTTCTTCAGAATAGGGAGTGGTTGATAGATTGACATTTATTAGTCACCACCGCTGGTTTAATAATAATTTGAGTGACTTCATACAAGGCTAAGGACACTTACATCAGATGGACACAATGTATGACACATCATGGGGGCAGAAATACAGCCATAAAACCCGCAGCCATCACGAGGACCTGCTCAACATTTTGCAATTCAATACAAAATCTCTTCAACAAAAGCATCTTTGTGGAGCTTATAATATTAGATTTGCTGCGTTTGTTCCGACTTTGTGTAAATCACTCAGCCTGAAACCAGAAGAAAAAAGAAAAACTTTCTGTTGACACAGTCTCCACAAAAACATAAATGCGACTGTTCAATCGTCACGTAGTACTCGTTGCAAGGTTATACTGGATTGCATCAGTCTGTACAGGTGTTCATGTTATTGTGCCAATTCCCTTGAATTTCATCACAAACACAATATGCAAAAGTACATAGTTCAGTAGTTCAGCGATTCTGTCCTCCGTTTATTATGTCGGTGTGTATGATTTACTTATAAAATAGCATCTATACAAAAACCACACCTTGGTAATAGTGAACAAAGGCATAAAACAGCTGTAGAAACATCATGAGCACAAGAATTAGATTTATAGCCCTGCCAATCATTAACCTGTACAATCTTGTCAGTGCTCTGCCCAAAATTGTTCACTTGGGATTTATCATTTCTAGATGTCATGACACTGTTGCGCAGTTTCATCTAGAGTTCAAGGTACCATACACAGGTTTGGTTTGGTTTGGTTCACTGGGCTCTCTATCATTCATCTCCACAGCTGGTGACCGCTCTGTTTGTCTGCACAGGGGTCTTTTAAAGGTATGGTGCGCAATTACTTTTTTTTAAAATATTTTTTGCTGCATATTATACAAAATGTAATGAATTCAAACTTAAATGTTATGGTATCACTGTTGGAATAAAATACACAACCTCAAAGATATATTACGATGGCTCTATTATTATTATTAAGCATGACGTTGTAAGAGTGTGCGTGAGAGTACAGAGCAGGGCTGGAAGAAGTACTCAGATCTTGTACTTAGGTAAAAGTAGCAATATTACAGTGTAGAAATACTTTGTTACAAGTAAAAGTCATGCATTTAAACTTTTACTTAAGTAAAAGTACAAAGGTATCAATATATACTTAAAGCATAAAATGTAAAAGTACTCCTTACGCAGAGTGGGCCATTTCAGAATAATAGGCTCTATATTATATTACTGGATTATAATTATTGATGCTTTTAATGTGTTTATCACTTTAATGAAGTAGCTGGTAAACGTGGAGCTACTTTTTACTACATGTTGCATAGCTAGATATCAATACATGTTATCTTAACCTATAATAGTACATAGTCATTTACTTGTTGATTGTATTTCGTATTTTGTATTATGAATCTGAATATGCAAAGTAACTGTCAAATAAATGTAGTGAAGTAAAAAGTACAATATTATAAAAGTATAAAGTAGCATAAAATGGAAATACTCAGGTATAAGTAGTATAAACTAGTATATTCCACCACTTGTGCAGAGAAACTCTAGAGACCGCCTGACCATCCAGACTTATGCATTGTCCATAATCCATGAGGATAAAGAAATCCGTATTATTTTTACATATTTTTACATTTTCTTGGGGCTCAATGCTCTTAGCAATGCATACATACACCATATTATATACTCCGATCATTACATCTAATCCCATATAGTGAGATAGCTTGAGATAAGTACTTCGTTGCGTAATGGTTTTTATAGCTCCCTGTTTACGGTCCTGAACATGCTACACTGTAGGTTAGGCTTTTTACAATTGTAAACCCTGGATTGTGTCTACTAAGCAAAATAGACCTCCTGCTGTTGCTGATGATGTTTTACCCTTAATGTTAATCAATAATCACGACTCAAAGCGCCTAGTGCTATGTGTTAAAAATAGCAGAATGCTTCGTCCCATGATGCTGTGCTATATGTAATATGGAGAATAAAATATCATGGGTTAAATGCACACCAGTCAGGACTTCAACAAATAAACTGATTACATTCAAACACTTGATACCAATTTACCAGTTTTCACTTTCTACACGCCTGGAATATTATAATTTACTTGGAAATGATAAAACAGGGATTTACAATTTTAAGAGTGTTTTTTATTGTCTAAAATAGTATCTTATTTGCTTTTCCCCGATTAGATCAGAGACCATGGGAGAGTGGGGTTTTCTGTCCTCTCTACTGGACAAGGTCCAGTCCCACTCCACCGTCATCGGGAAGGTCTGGCTCAGTGTGCTTTTTATCTTCAGGATCATGATCCTTGGAGCTGGAGCAGAGAAGGTCTAGTTCTCTTTCTTCAAACTTTATTTTTTGTAGGGCTGTGACTAACTGATGAATGTCTGAATTACATTTATGAGACGTTAAAAGCGTTCAGGTGAAATAGCACCCTCTGGTGGCCGTGTTGAAGGCCCACAGCTCCAATCAAAACCGGACTCAGCTTGATAACAAATGATTAGGCTTTATAAATATAAGACATTTTTAACATATTTCAAATAATGAAATACCTTTATCTCCAATTTTGTAGTGCTTATCTTTCGATAAAGCAGTACAAAAGGGCCTGGAGGCTATCCCAGCATGCATTGGGCAAGAGAGTATAAATCCAATCTGATCAATCAACCTGCTTGCTTGTTGCTTTTGTTGTTGATTTAGAAAGAACAAAAAAAACGTAGTTTTTGTTTCTAACCCTAACCAAACTATGTATCTTCAGAATGCCATTTTGTTGCCTGCTTGTTTATCATTTAGCCGTTATTAACACAATTCTCCAATGGACATCCATAATTACATTAAAAGTAAATATTAAAAGTGACATGGCATTCACTTCATTTGCCATATACATCTATATATAAAATGATATTAACTTCTCCTCTGAACATTACAGGTGTGGGGTGATGAACAGTCGAATATGATTTGCAACACCAAACAGCCTGGTTGCAAGAACGTCTGCTATGACCAAGCCTTCCCAATCTCACACATTCGATTCTGGGTCCTCCAGATTATCTTTGTGTCAACTCCAACGCTGATCTACCTCGGTCACGTCCTCCACATTATCCACAAAGAAAATAAGATGAGAGAACATGTCGTGACCCACTCCAAGAGTGGAATTGTCAAAGTTCCAAAGTACTCCGACAACAAAGGCCACGTCAAGATAGAAGGCGACCTGCTGGGAAACTACATGACCTCCATATTTTTCAGAATCCTTCTGGAGGTAGCGTTCATCGTGGGGCAGTATTATCTGTACGGGTTCATCATGGACCCAAGAGTCGTGTGCACCCGGGCCCCCTGTCCCTTCACCGTAGAGTGCTACATGTCCCGACCCACAGAGAAGACCATCTTCATCATCTTCATGCTCGTAGTGTCCTGCATCTCTCTCCTACTCAACGTAGGGGAGATCTTCTATCTGGCGTGTTATCGCTCATGCAGACGAAGGTCTAAAACAAAGGCGGCTGCTTCTATCGCCCTTCACCCGCGTTTAAACGGCGACCCACTGATGAAACACGAGAAGTTCGGCCTCCATGACGCAAGTCACAGCACAGCCTGAAGAAGGCTTTAGATCCAGTGTGCAAAATGGAGACAGGCGCATAGTTACCAAGACAACAGGAGGGCGAATACAAATGTTATTTATTTATGTGATGCTAAAATAAATCCTGAAAGTGATGCAAATTTGGTAACGTATGTGTAGACTATTTATGAAAATGGAAAAATGTACAAGAATAATTGAATATAAAAAGGTACTGTATCCTGAAGCAGACTTTTAAAGATTGTACAAAACGTGAGCTTGAGTGATTTGTTTCGCTCTAAAGCAGTGTGTACAGTAAGAGCTGTTAGTGATACTTTGCTTATCAGTTTTTTTTTCTAAATATTATTCAATTTGCAGGCATGACTTTTAGGACTGTAAATATTTTAATAACAAATCATTCCTTTTTTCATGTTATATATTTGAATATGAATTTGTAACTGACTTTCAAACTGCAATCTCAGCTTTTGTTTCATGATTCATCACTGTTTTGGGTTTCACTAAAATCACATTTAACATACTGTAAATCACTCATTTAGATACATAAAAAAAATGAAAACAACGAAATTACAAAATGTGTACATTGTTATTACACTCTTCTGGTGTAAAATCTCCTATCGTGGCAATTTGACTTGTAATCATACAAGTAAAATAACAACTACATTTTCTGGAAATTCACTCGAGGAACTGGTGTCGCCCAGTGCAGGCACACGAATGTTAGATTCCGGCATGTGTTCTGGATAAGCAACAGTTTGCTAACGCAATGTTATCTTGTTGAGGAGTTGACTTTTATCCATCAGAAAGGTTCAAGTTTTCCTATGGCAAGTTGGCATTTTCAACATATAATTTATCAAATTACAGAGTTTCACTGAACAGGTACACTTACCTTCTCAACTGTACGATACTACTACTCCGTAACTGCTATGTAGCTAAATAACTAACAGTTTGCTGACAAGTTCCAGTGTCAATTTAAAAGGTCAAATGTCAATTGTTACATTCCTACCCTTTTTCTGCCCCCTAATGGCAAAAAAAAGAAAGAAAAAGTATTAAAACACAACATCTCAGCACCAACCTATGGAAGCCCATTTCTGGCAGCAACAATAAATAAAAAATCACAATTTCTTTGTTTTTTGTGCTGTCAGAAATGGGCTTCCATACCAACCTGTGGTGGTGGGTGGTGCAGAAGCACTCCCTGCCGGGGAAACACCACTAGATGGCGCCATTAACACGCCCGCCTGTGTCCCTCCGCGTCAGCTCGTAGTCCCGCCCACCGCCCCCACAGTGACGAACACCAGTTTCCTTTTCCTCACAATATAACAACAGCTGGAAGCAGCTAAAGATGGCCGCCGTGACCATGGCAGGGCTCGACGCCCACAGAATGGAGGAAAAGAAGTTCGAGTACTTCTCCTCCATCAACTCCATGGCGAAGAAAATCATGCAGGAGAGGAAGACCATTGAAGCCAAGCACGGCTCGTCCTGGGAGAAGATGACGCCGCAGGAGCAAGACAGCGCCATCGACAACGGGATGATGGAGCCACATATCCGAGCCCGATACGCCATGCACAGAGTGGAGCGTGAAGAAGTGGTCTGTTACCCGAAACTGCTCATTCAAACGGGTCAGAAGATAGTTCATTTCGGCGAAGAGGTAGTTAAACCACGTTTTAATTGATGTTACGTTGCTTTGTGTGTGTGTTTAGAGGTGGGAATAGCCAGTGTTGTCATGGTTAATAACTGACGTTAGCCACGTAGCCGGCCGGTGAGACGCGTAGGTAAACGTCACTGTGGCTTCCTGGTGCGTACTACTAGCTACCGTGTTAAATGTAATTTAGTCACGATCACAGGGAATCCATTGATCGATACGTTCTGCTGGACATACTTACAATAGTCAATAACATGGCCATAACATGTGTGGTTTTGGTCGCTGTTATTATTGTGTTTTGCCGGCAAAAATGTAAATAATGTAGACTTTGTCCTAAATATGGTAGAAGTTGAATTATCCTCCCATTTATTCGGCTATCTACGGAAAGCCTTGAGTTGAAATGGTTACTACACTGTTGTATTTCTGTTCAGGATATTACCTGGCAAGATGAGCATTCTGCCCCCTTCTCGTGGGAAACAAAGGTAAATATATTCAATATTAAGTTTGAGTCTGACATAAATGTTTCTGCAAAGAGATTTGGCACAATATTGTAGCGCTGCAGCTAGCTCCTTCTTTGGCATTATCAGTACATGGGTTGACTACATTTTTAGTAATTAATTGTGTAGGCTATAAAATGTCAGAAAATAGTAAGAATCCCTTTAGAGAGCCCATTTTGGACATCTTCAAATTGCTTGTTTTATCAAACCCACAATCTAAAAAAAACATATTCTGTTTACAATTACATAAAACTGAAAATAATCTAATCCTCTCATTTAAGAATTAAATACATTTAAGATTACTTGATTATCATAATGGTCAATAATTCACTTATGACTTATGTTTTGTAGTTTTAAGTTTCTTTAATCTCTGCAAATACATAATCCAAATACTTTGTTGTTTTCTGCCTGAAATCAGCATGTAGCGTTGAGCCCAGTTGAGTTGTGAGATATTGTTGCGTCCTTCTATCAGAGCCAGTTGGACTTCAGCTTGACATCGGGCCCAGTCGACCAGGGGGTCTCAGCCTCGCAGGCAGACTCAAAGGCTGCAAAGGTTCCTCATTCCAGCCAGCTTGGCAAGAGTACACCAGGAACCAAGGTATGATAAAGAGCGCGTTGTTTGCTTGTTTGAATGGTGTGCATCTCCAGTAGGAATTGCTTTTTGAATAACCTTTACCTTAACTTAAATCACAATCGCATAAATAAATAAATAAAAAATGTTCCTGGAATTTTACAGGAGAGGCCGTGCAATTGTAGGTTTTGTGAAAACAACCTAATATAAAACAAACGTGTTGTTGTGTGACTGAAGGTGTCTGTCAGTGAGGTACGGAGGCCAGAGGAAGAGTCGTCTTTCTGGAAGATCAGCGCAGAGAGGTCCAGGCTGGAGGGAGAGCAAGCCGACTTCCAGTCCCTGACCCCCAGCCAGATCAAATCCCTGGAGAAAGGAGAGAAATCCCTCCCCTCCTACCTCCGACAGGTAAACACTGAAATCTACCGTGCTTCTGACTATCCGGTGGCGTTTTCAGTTCGAGTAACGGCTGCCATTGATGTTTGTTCCCACATTTTGGCACAAGCATGGCATTTCGGGTCTGTATAGTTTCTGACAAACAACAGATTGAAAGCAAGCTCCCACCCAAACACACTTGTCACTTTTCCAATCGAGCTGTGTATCCTGAAATAGAAGCCAGCCTGAAGCCGAGATCACTGGCATCTGTGAAGCCTCCACAAGTGTCAGAGGAGCAGATGGGGGGGGAAAAAAAGGAAACGATGATTTCTATATTGTTTCTGAATGTTCTTCTTTGCCGTTCTTCCTTTCTTTTTGTTTTGTGCACATTTGTTGTTGCTGAGATTTTTCCATTGTACAGCCACATCAACCACCTGTGACGCTTGCGATGATCATACGAGAAACTTAAAGGAAATGTCAACAAATATGTGACTCTTCTTTATCATAATCCGTTTTCAACATTTTTGAAAACATCGCCATTTAAATGAAATCCTCGTAAATGTGTGTATAATGTAAATATCATCTTTCTACAGGAGACCTCTGTCACCACCAAGGAGCATGAGGCAGTAGAGCCCCACCCTCCGGCCCCTACCAGGTCCACCAAGCACCGAGCACCCAAAGTTCCTGCTCCCCATCCCCCTCTCGCCATCCCTGTCGCCATCCCTGTCGCCGTAAGCGCAACGCCTGCATCCCTCTCCATCTCGCCGAACCCACGACCGCCTGTCAGCGTGTCGTCGTCGGTAGCCGGGTGGGAGCGCTCTCAGAGCACCCTGCCGTCGGTCGGTACCACCGTGGATGAAGTGTTCTCCTCCGGCATGATGTCCAAGCCCTCCCACCACCCCGCCAGTGTGGAGAAAGAGGATGACGGTTCATCCGCCAGCCCCACCTTTGGTCAGGTGAGTTCTGAAGTTCTGAAACAGATATAGTTTTCAGAGTGACGTGAGCTCAGTCTTAAGTACAAGTTTTCTGGTTTTGGATATTTTAATAGCAGGGTACGTAAAAAAGTCTTGAAAGTTTGGAAAAAAGCTTAATTTTAACCGGTATGATTTCAAGCTCGGGGATATGCTTGATTTCAAATATACCTAAAAATGATTGATGTTCCACCGTCTTGGGGCTACAACAGCAACCCGTTTTTAAATTGGCACGCATTAAATAACTATGATCAAAACATACATTCATAGTTAATATGAACAACTGGTTCAATGAACAAAGTGGCAATATACATTAATTGCAGTAATTATACATTAAATCTGTAATTTTTTACAGATATTCATATCATATGGAGAACAGGAGTTAAGAAAACATATTGTTTCTAATAGCCATTCAAATGTACTGAACTGTGTGTCTCCCGCCCCCTCAGTACAACACGAACAACAACCTCCTGAAGACTGGATTCGACTTCCTAGACAACTGGTAAACCACAGCCGAGACCAGTCACCGCTATGAATGAATCACCCTCATCATCACTTTAAAGAAGGACCACACTGCCATGACTACAGACAACACACCAGTCCTTTAGAATGACCACATTATGTTGTTGTAATTATCTTCAGTGGCTTGTTAAGATATTATCTCACTGCCCGTGTGCTGGTGTTCCCTCTCCCTCTCTTAATTAGGTTTCGTTTTCTTGCCAAACACCCGCCTGCCCACCAAATGGAGAGTGAGCAGGGATTGTGCATTCACACTGCGATCAGATCAATTACAAGATGATTCAAAAGTTTGGAGCTGCATCAAAATATGATATAGAATATACATCCTTTTACCGAGAAGGCTGTTACAAATAAATTGGAAGGCCGAGGGAAGTAGTACAAAAATCCAATGTTTTATTATTCGCCAACACCAATAAAGGGTTCAGTTGTGGAGGCTTTTTCTCATATGATATCAGCCAACGATATCCCTGAATTACCTGGTAACTCTGGTAAGCTGTTGATCGGGTCTGTAGTGTGAATGCACAGTAACGGTGTGACTTGGCTGCCTTCATGTGCAACTTTTAGACACTAATCTAGCAAGCGAGGACATCTTTTGTACCATACGCATGTCAAATTTTCATCTGTGCAAAACACTAGAACACTCGTCCGTCTTTTTGTTTTCTTTTTTGTTTTGAATATTTTTTGCTCTAATGTGCTTTTATTTATACGTACCTATATATATTCCTATGAACCTAAGAGTTTTAGAGTTAAAGTAGTGCTGAGTGCCGCAGTCTCGGCCCACATGGGCCAATTACTACAAACAATGTTCCTGCCGGGTATGGAATTCCTGGAATATTATGGGATTTTTTTAAGGATGTTCAGGTGGGGAATATCGTGGGATTTTACCCTTGCATCACTTTGCAGAAATTAAACAATGTATTTTGCAACATTCACACATCACACACTTCATTGAATTCGATGGTTTTCATTAAGTGGAATCCAAACTGAAACCAAAAACAGGAGGGAAGAACAGCCATGGAAGGGATCAAACTTAGTCATGGAAAGCTCATGGACTGAATGTCGGGGCTGCTGTGGGAACCTGTTACAGATGTCCTGTATGGATTCAATGTCTCCACGACACTCCTTACCATCTCACCCCTCCCAACTGTCACCTTTGACGTCAAACTAGTGCTGAGCAACGCTGGTGTGCATTTATAGTGAAAAAAGACGCAGTCAACCGTCGTGTTTTAGATGAATAGGTAGGCATGTAGTGATTTGTACCACTTGTGTCATAAATCTAAAATCCGGTTTACACAATTAGAGAACTATTTTACTGAATTTTATATTTATCGGCTGATTGTATCTTAAGCTATACTTGTATTTTGCACTCGTGCATTTTGAGGTCAAATATTAGAAGTAAATAAATAAAAGTCAAACCTGTTCCTTGTCTTTGTCTTTTTTCTGCAAAACAACTTTTTAAAGGACACAAACTATTTACACGCCCCCCCCCCCCCCCCCTCACTTTTTAGTTCTTGATCACACCCACAAATTACTTTTTTTCCAAACGTAATGAATCCCACATTAATACGGTTTCTGCTGAATTTCTCCAGGGAGGGAAAGAGGACGTCCCTACCAGGAGCGTCTGCTATGGTTACAAATGCAACATCAGTCGAAGATTGTTTGCATTCTTGCCGACCTCCTCGTCAGCCCCATGACATCAATCCCTCCAGCTGTAATTCCTACCAGATCCAAAATGACATTTAGGAAAAGGAGGAGGGAAGAATGTCTGATGCTCAGAGGAAACTTTGTGCTGTTCAGTTGAACAACACATTGGCCCAGTTTAGAATAACCAGACCTCATTCCACCATCTCCCTCGGGCACAAAGCAGCCGCTTCACAGTGTGGGTTTAAGAAAGGAAGAGCATTACTCTGTTTCATTCATAATGTATGCTGTAAAAAAAATAACACAGCAAAGCCAGAGAACAGGAAGTTGTTCTTCTGACGAAGACGCCCCAAAGACATGGATCTACTGTCCCACCACAAATGTTGGAGATCACTTTGAAAATCTTCACCCAAAAGTGACTTAGTGATTTGCATGACCAGAGCATGTGACCTAGCACAGCTGGACTGTGGTGACTTTCTGGCCAATTTCTCGGGGGAATAGTGCAATGGATGTAAGACTTTGAATGAGACTTTGCCTTATGCAGAAAGAGGTGGTATGGCCTTTCTCATAGGGGGTCTAATCCAGCATGGCATCTATTGCGTTTAAGATTTTACAATGTATGTGTTACCAAAAGCATTTTTAATAATTTTAAGCCTGTAAACTGGAAAAGATATTACACATCAGAACAAAATAAACCACAAACAGATTATATCTTAATATATCATGTATCAGTGTTGGTCTTTACTGTATGTGTGTGTTCATCCTCCCTCGCTGAACTGTGGCACCTTTGTCCAGTCCAGCCAACCTCCCTGCAGTACCACCACACTCTGAATGGCTGCTTTGTGTTCCCTCTCACTTTTTTTTTACTATAAATGTTTGGGTGAATAAAAAACACTGCACGGTATTGAATTTACAGCGGAAAAAGGAACAGGAGTTATTTTGTTCCCTAATGTCTAATAAGGCATGGTGCATTACTAAACAAACAGGCCTATAACTTATTTATACTATTATGTATGTTATTTTTATTATCAACTCTTCTCTCGCTGAATCGTTTGGTTTATTAAATGTGAGAAATTCTCATTGTAATTCCCTGAAGCCCAAGGTAACTTCTTCAAAATTAGTTTCATTGTTCGATGGACAATCCAAAATCCCCAAATCATGAAGTTAATATCGTATAAGATAAAACAGGACATTTTCACGTTTGCAGTTGATGAATTGAAGCGATTAATTGACGAATCATTTCAGCCCTCGTTTGATTTGAATGCAGCTGTTTTGATTGTTGTGGGAAATCAACAAGAACCACGAAGGTCAAAACAAGGGTAGACACTTTTTCCAGACCGTTGTTTGACTCCAATCTGAAGTCTGGAAACATTTTTAGGAGTATTGGACTCCGTAGTGAACTGGAACAGCTGTGTTTAAAGTGTAGACTCACACAGTTGTCCCTCTTTGCTGAACGCAGATGCTCACAGTCCCAGGCGCTGCCGGAGCTCCTCCCAGTCTCCGGATCCCAGGGCCCTGCCTCGCTTCCCCTGGAAACTCTGATGGATTCTTGTGGCATTTTAACTGGCATACCTCCTGTTACAACCACACACACACACACACACACACACACACACACACACACACACACACGCACAGACATTTATTTTAATGTCGTCATTTCCCCTAAATAGATTCAGAACCTCATATTTCTCTCACCCATAATTAATTTAATTTCACTTTAAAAGCTTGGCAAGCACGCCAAATTAAAAGAAGGGCTGTGTGTGTACATCTACGTATGTATGCCAGTGTGTGTGTGGGTGTGTGTGTGTGTGTCTAAGAGACAGAGTTTAGGACCACAGTATGCAAGTGTGTACAGGAATGCAGTGTTTTCTATTTGCAACAGAATTCAGCCAACGTTTAAGCCAGAAATAAATGTTAAACCAACATCCAAATTGTACATTCGGCATGATCGTTGACTCTTGACTATGTAAATAGGAGCTTTTCAGTAGTTTGACAATTTTATCAAACTACTATTCAAAGGGCCAAAACTAAACTTTCATGCCAAACATTTAGGCAAAAATAGGACACGGGAGATCCATAAGAACGGAGCAAACTCCATCTGCCATAAAGACAGTTTAATACGGTTGAAAGCTCCAGAAAAAAGCTAGTAAGTGGACATTGAGTTCAGATTATTATATTAAAGTGTACACAATTGCTATGAGCTTTGAACTGATTCAGGTTATGAGACAAATGTGCTTTTACTGCCATTATAATTTAATTAGTTTACATTGCTAGTGAACTGAGGATGTCTCTCAATTGGAATGGAAGTCTTGTATCTCCAGATTAGATTTTTCCATCTAAACCAAAGGATTATCTTGAGGCTGAAATAAAACCATTTAAAGGGCCTTGAAAATGAATTACCTGTGTTGTTATTCCCCTGCGTAAAACTACAGAGTTCACACAAAGAGTGGAAATGGGAGGTGGGAGAAAAAACACAGAGCTTTCCTGTTGTTTGGAGTGACATCCTGAACAAGACAGAGAGAGGAGAGACGACTGGGACGTGACTTTGATTTGTTTTCTAAATACGTGACATTTCAGCATCTGTGTGTTTTCTCTCATTCACATTTCTAATGGGAGATCCCTGCTGCTGTTGCTTTCCTGAGTCCTGGATCGCATCTGTGAGAGAAGCACGAGGGTCGGGAGGGGAAGAGGAGTGAAAGAGAGAGACTCAGACAGTGGAAAGAGAGAGAGAGAGAGACTCAGAGGGAGTTTTGCTGCTGAAGTAAAAGCAGAGTCATTAGGAAGCAGAAAATGGGACCGGCTGCCACCTCGCTCGCTCTCCTGTGTTTATGTTCTCTGGGAGTGTGTGTTCCTACAGGGACGGCCGCCGCAGCACCAACACAGGTCAGGACTGATTGTGTGTACTGTGTGTGCGCTTGGACTCGATTAACTTAAAACTGTATTTCATTGGAGATGTTGCTGTTGTCTGTTTCTTTGGGTGAAACCCCATTCACAGTGCTCAGAGTGCTGTACATGTGTATAGGAGGGAGTCAGGTCAAGCTAAACCAAGCAAAAGATAATAAACAATTAGACGTTTTTTGCTAAATATTATGTGGAGATGGTTGAAGTGCAAATAAACCAGACACGTTGAGGATGATGATGGTTTTAAAGACTAGAATGTATGATGATACACAGAGAGGAGCAAGTCCATCTGGTAGTTTTTTTCCCCTCTACTAAAACTTAATGTGTGTGTCAGACCTCAAAATGAAACACGCCTCTCCCTCTGTCAGTCCATATGCCACAGAGGGAACATGTTGACACACATGGTGTTGCTGATAGTGATTAAAGTACACATGGTTTCAAGTTTAAACAGATTTTTTTGGACAATACTAAAGGTACAGATCACAAACACCCCATCCGGCATATAATTTAGAGGCTAATGATGATGATAAGCTAAACATTTACATCCATTGTGGTCCATGTTATTGAAGATGTATGTTTATATATTTTGAGATGATTATTTATGTGTATATGTGATAAACATTAAGAAGTTTAGAAATGGGTAGGACCTTATAATAGCACCTAAGAAGTGTTAAAAATTGCAATTGCTCTCTCTGTGTCAGGCATCCCTTTCAGAGGTGAAGAGGGCGCGAGGGGACGTTCCCGATATTCTTCCAGAACCTGAACCAGAGCCAACCAGCCCAGTGTCAGACTTTGAAAACTCATACAACTATGTCTGTGAGTCTCCATATCCAGATCCAGATCCAGATGTCATGCTTCCGAACACTATGTCATCACTGTGGAAAATAACGGCATCATTAGTCTGACTATGAGCCTTATCGCTGTACTCTAGCACAGTAATATTTCATGAATGCAACACATTTCTCTTTCCTGTCCTTGTCCTACTGTATTCTGTTAGTGTCCAGATTAGCCGATATGGACCAGGCGATCCACAAGCTGAATGTTGGTCACTACACCCTGGATGTTAAAGTCAGCCAGTTAATGGACCGGCTGACCAGGGTGGATGGTAAGACGGTCACAACACATCCACATTTCTCCACGGACTTTTTTCCCTTTCCACTATATATATATATATATATATATATATATATATATATAT